CAGGAGAATTGCCTGAACCCAGGAGGTGGAGGTTGCAGTGAGCCAAGATCACACCACTGCACTCTAGTCTGGGTGACAGAGCGAGACTGCACCTAAAAAAAAAAGTCACATACATGACATACAAACCACCCAAACAAATGACAAGAGGAATTAACCATGTTCAGATATAAAGAGACAGTAAGTCAATAATCAAACCCTCATTTAGAAAGTGTCACATACAAAGTGGTAATTAAAACCTAAACATCTGGAGAAAACGCAAACAGTAGTTAATGCTGGTATGTACCAAGAGACCTGTAGGAATGATCAATGTGTTCCTCTTTATAGAATGAAAGTCTTGCAAGAGTCTCTTAGAAGGAATGATGTAAATTAAGTGGTGCTAACACAGAAATGAGAAGAAACTGGAGTGTGAAGGGGGTGCAGAAAATGTAAAGAACAAATACTGTCTACATTTTTTCTTTGCTACAATATGTGTGCTGAGAATTCACTAAGAGAATTCCACTTGGGGGTTTTGTTTTTTGTTTTGTTTTGAGAGGGAATCTTGCTCTGCTGCCAGGCTGGCGTGCAGTGGCACAATCTCGGCTTACTGTAACCTCCATCTCCCAAGTTCAAGCAATTCCCCTGCCTCAGCCTCCTGAGTAGCTGGGACTATAGGTACACGCCACCACGCCTGGCTGATTTTTTGTATTTTAGTAGAGACAGGGTTTCACCATGTTGGCCAGGATGGTCTCCATTTCCTGACCTCGTGATCCTCCCATCTTGGCCTCTTAAAGTGCTGGGATTACAGGCGTGAGCCACCATGCCTGGCTGGGGTTTTGTATTCTTTAATCCTTGAAGATGTTACAGGATCCCTTGTGAAGGGATAAAAGCTAAGGCTGGTTGGGGGTGATGGGAAAGGTGTTGCTGATGAAGAAACACAGAGTATATGGAAGTCTTCTTTCTAGGTAGAATACACATAAACTCAGAGACAATTTAAGAGTGAAATGGAGATTTCAACTTTTTTTCTTTGCTACATTTGTATTTGTTCATCCCATCACCTTCTGCATCCCAGCTGTTCCTCTCAGGTACAGGTTAAATCATCTTTTCTTATAGCAGACTGTATATGGCCAATAAACCTCTGTTGACAAACAAGCCTTGGGATTTATCATGAACTGGAGTCGGGGGAATTGTTCTCCCTCTGAGACATGGTGACAGCCAGCCAGACTGCCTTTCCTGTGGCACTAGGACCACTCAGCCTTGTTCTTTTGGGCCAACATCATATATCAGAGGCCAGACGCAGGGTTCCTTTGAAAGACAGTGTGAATGATCTAGGCTAATACCTAGGAGCCCTCTTTCTATCTCTGAATAAAGATTCCTTACACCGATGTACATTGAGATTACAGTTTTTACTGTAACAGACACTAGTCAAGGAAAGCTGCTGTAATTTACAGCAGGCTTGCAGGAAAACAGCCAATGGAAGATCATTAATTTAAACTGTAAATAAGATCCTGTTTTATTCTGGACTCTGATCCCCGGTAGTGCCCCTAACAAGCTGCCTGCAAAGCCAAGGCATGAAGCCTGCTGCTTTAAACATGATGATCGAAGAACTGCTCTTGTCCGCATAAACAGCTAAAAATAGCTACAAGAAAGTGAAGGCAAAACAGGTTTCAGGGAATGCAGAGAGTTACCCTGATGCTGTCAGTTTTATTCCAGCTGCTCCCAATAGTGTGAAAAGCAGAGAGAAGTACCTGGTACAAAAGATTTTAACTTGCTAGATGGAACCCTGGAGACCTGAGAGAATTATACAACTTTTTAAAGGATCCTGCCCTTTTCACTGGAGGATGGCACAAGTCCCAGGAGAACTGGAGCAAATTTGAGCACTGTCTTTGTTCTGCATAATTAACAGAGCCTGAAATTCCTTTCTTTTCTCTTTTTAACATAAATTCTCATTGATCGGAGAAAATATATTCACACTTTAAAATGTTGTGCAAGTACTATCTCTTTGATTCAAATATGTCCATTGGGTAGGCGGCGTACATATTTCATGGTGATAAATTCACCTCATAAGTAGAAAAACTGTACAAATATACTACTATGTCAACTTTATTGATTTTTGTACCGTTGTTAAGACCTTCATTGTCCTCCAATATTTCTTAAATCTATCAGCATCTCAGAAAATGACTCTGAAGGCCTCATTTATCTGTACAGGAAAATATCCCTTCCTTTAGGTTCACTTATAACATTGTGATTTAAACAGCTTAGGACCACCTCTGCTCTGAAGGGTAACAGTCCTAGAGAAAGCCATTCCCTCACAGTCACACACAGGGACTTCCCTTTTTCTAAAACAAGGGTGTGTCAAGTCTTAAGATCAGTAAAATGCCCATGGCTAAATGCCCTTTTAAAAGTCCTTCAAATAACTATGGACTAATTATGCAGTCTGATTAATGGTGTAATGACTTGAGTGGATTCAATGGTTAGCCTCCGCTGTATTGCCTCTCTGTTTTCCTTCTAGTCTCAGCAGTTACATCTGGACTCGAGAGTCCCACTGCTTAAGTCTTGCTCCTGAAAACAATCCTGGAGTTTCTAGGTCATCACCGCATAATCTCCAGCTACAGAAAAGCTTATACTCACATTCGATATTTGGCATATTTTTATTTTTTCATTTTTCTCTCTAACAGCATCAATAAAACAGAGACTATCATTAGATTATTCTGAGGTCTCTTTAAGCCGTAAATTTCTTCCATTTCCCTATATGACTTTACAAATGGAGAAAATGTAAATGATTCACCCAGAGTCACCTGTTAGGTAGAATTAGATTCAAGGCAGAAACTTGGATTCCTGAATCTCAGTTCAGGGGTCTTTCAATTACAGAAAGTCATACCACATTTAGTATAGAATACAGGACCTTTGAAGATGAGTCACTGGCTTATTTCTCTTTATATCCTACAGTGCATAGTGCATTGCCTAGCATACAGTTTGTTGATTATTAAATTAAATTTGCTAAAAATGTGAACAAGAAGAAAAATCAATAGAGATTACAAAAATCGATTCAAAGCCAACAAACAACTAAATCTCATTATATAAATAAAAGATATTAGTTCAGTTACTCAATATGGGACTGCATACAGCAGATCAAAACTGTTTAGCTGTAATTGTTGATGAAGTAACCAGCCAGTAAAAGGAAGATAGGAATGTTCGAGGTATAATCCTAAATTTGTGAGGTTGACATTATTGGCTGTGTGGTACTCTGGCCATCAGCCACACATGGCTATGTCAATTTAAATGAATTAAAATTAAATGAAATTTAAAATCCAATTACTCAAATTACACCAGCCATATTTCAAACACTCAACAGCCATAAATTGTTAATGTCTAAAGTACAGGAGAGCTTAGAAGAACATTTCTATCATCACTGAAAGTTCTACTGGACACTGCAGAAAGAAAAAAGAATGAAGAGAAAACATTAATTAAGCTTTTACTATTCTGTGCTAAGCACCTGAAATGCCTAATTTCATACAGTCCTTATGACCTCCCGCATGAGGTAGGTACTATGTAATTGTCCCCCTTTTAAAGGGAATGCTGCTGTGCTTGGAGAGACTAGGTACATCACCATGCTTATATACGTAGTAATTGGTTTAGCTGGGTTTTTACTGGTCTTCTGACTCCAGAGTCTATGCTCAACGGAAAAGTTATGCTGCTTCTACTGAAAAACTTGAAATGCCTACAGCCAGAGAGAACATGTTACACTTTATATTAGTGATTTTTAATCCTTGATATCTATCAGAAGCATCTGGGGAGCTTTATCAAGATACAGTTACCTGAGCCCCAATCCAGAGCAAGAGTGGTGGGACTAGAGCTTGCACATTTGAAGACCACTAAGTCTTTTTGATATGCAGCCAGAATTGAGAGTGATTGCTTGAGAGACATTTTTATCACCTTCCACAGTCCAGTTGGCAAAACGTAGACCCTACCCAAGGTCACTAACAGTAGCTAATGAAAAATCTGAGATGAGAACATATACATCACTGCTACCTTCATAACACGTCGTGGTTTAGGGTATGTTCATGAATGACACATTTCTTTTCCCTGATTAATATTACTCGTTCATGTAATGTATGTAACACTTAGCAGTTTTGTCAGAACTCAGAATTTGATAATGCAAGTTTATGAAAACAAAGGTATAGATGTAGAAACACTTCTCTTCTGAGACAAATAATGTCTTTCTCATTTAAAAGTAATATTTTCTTCCTAAAAAATGACGTATGTGAGGAGTAGGTAAGCAGTCTTAACAGGAGACATATGGCACAGAGGAAAAAGCAGGACTGACTGCTAACGAAGACACCTTAATTCTAGTCCCAATTGTGGCTGTAACTCTGCAATGGGCACAGACTATTTCTTTTCTCTGCATCTCAGTTTTCTTATCTGCAAATAAGGGTGTCATATATGATGTTCTCCAAGGCTCCTTGCAGCTAAGATCCATGCTCAGAAGGGACTAACCTTACCACTCTTTCCACGCTACCCTATTCTGCTAAGCACATTGCATTCATCCTGACATTTGTGTGCAGACTAAACAAACATTAAAAATGAAACTTCCTATCTGCTGTAGGACAATGCATTCAGTTAAATTCTACTTAATCCGTTTGTTCCATGTTAAAGAAAAACTGGGACATCAGAGGAAAAGCCATCTTTCCTGCTGTCTTGTCAAGGCTCATTCTAATTCTTATGATTGACTGGTCGGAACTCTTACAAGAGAATCTGCAGCATCCACTCAACAAGACTCATTCTTTGTAGCTGCCTTTCGGAAATGGTAATGATCTACCTATCTCTCGCCCTCTGACATTCACAGCTGCTGATCTGAAAATTATGATGTGTCAGACATTTTACAACCTTAACATCCATCAACTCATCCTAACATTTCTAATCCCAGCTTAACTGTAATGGATTTTTAGGTAGCTAGAGAGGTTAGCCACCCAAGAAAAAAATCACATCATGAATGAGTAGCATGCCGAATATACATTTCTTACCTTACGCTTGTTGGTAGGACACACATAGAGATAGCTCAAAATGGTTTTCAAACCAACTTTATCATTCAGCTTCTCATAGGTTGTTCCATAATCGGTTGACCTATAATTCAAAAAGAGCATTAATGAGGACAGACATATACATCATTTGGCTGCTTGTTGGTATAATGCATGTTTTACATTGTAGAATGGCTCTCGGGCGGTTTCTAAATGATTCATGTAGTATATAATGATGCTTAATTATGTACACAGTAGCATCATGTGAGTGGTTAAAATTTGCATTTAAATTGAATTGGTAAAAATTAAAACTCCATCTCTCTACTGTTCCTTAATGTATGCACATTGCATAAAAAATGTGGTTAATTTAAAAAGATTAAGAGATGAGGGTGTCCCTTGACTTGACCAAAAAATTAAAAGAGTTTTTAGGTAGATATGACACTTCCAAACTTTTACTTTATGTTTGGCACCGCAGAAAAGCCGGTTCTCCTGATTCACCTACAAATTGTGTTTTCTCTGATGAGTCAGGAAATATATGGTAGGTCAGTCCCTTGAAAGGTCAGTCAGTCTTTTCTTACTATTTTAGAGCAAGAAAATGTCTCAATAATAAGAGAAATTTTACAAATTTCTTACTCCATGGACTTTTCCTGTGTTAAGCAATCTGGAGTCAGGAGGACATCACTTCTTGTCCCTGACTCTGTTTTTCCTATAGAGCCTCTCATCTTTAGCCATTGGTCAATACATTATTCATTCAGATTAAATAAACTGACTTTAATTACCTTCTCTATGAAGGTCTACTCTAAGAATTTTAATCTTATATCATCATGATAACTATGTATAGTAGGGATTATTATTTGTATTTGATGAAAATGATTGAGAGAACTTCAGCAATTTGTTCAAAGAAATTAAAAACATTTCCTGATAAATGGGACAGCTAGATATTGAATTCAGGTATTTCAGCCTAAGCCCTATGTTGCTTTCATTATACTTCAGCTTTTTTTTTCTTTTCTTTTCTTTTTTTTTTTTAATTCAAAGAAGGTAGGGCTGGGCACAGTGGCTCGTGCCTGTAATTCCAGCACTTTGGGAAAGCAAGGCAGGTGAATTCTTGAGGTCAGGAATTTGAGATCAGCCTGATCAACATGGTGAAATTCCATCTCCACCAAAAATACAAAACTTAGCCTGGCGTGATGGCACGCATTTATAGTCCGAGCTACTTGGGAGGCTGAGGCATGAGAATTGCTTGAACCCAGGAGGCGGAGATTACAGTGAGCCTAGATCATGCCACTGCACTCCAGCCTGCACCACAGAACAAGACTCCATCTCAAAAAAAGAAAAAAAAGAAAGATAGATATAAAATTTCCCCTTAGCTTTCTTTTCTTACTTAGGAGATTGTCGATAAAATTCATTCATTCATTTACATTTGTAGCACTTCAAGACATACCAGACAGTGTTGCTGAGTGTAAGAACAAAGCACACAGCCCCTACTCTCAATTATGTCACAATTTGAAAGAAATAAACAAATAGTTAGAATGTGTTAAGTGCAAAGACAGAGATATGAGTTCACACTGCTTAGAAATTAATGTTGATTTAATTAGAAAAATACAAAAAATGTAACCATCTTAATTCATTTCTGAACCTGATGAAAGTTACAAATTCCTACAGGCAATAATGACCAAGTAGAAGGGTATGTTAACAAGCTCAGGATCATCCACTCAGTATGAACGGTGGACCAAACACTGGCAGAAAGCTGCATAAAAGTGATCCTGGAGCTAGGAATTAAGGATTTATTCTGGCTGGAGACTCAAGACATTTCTTCCTAAAATTTATACATAGATGGCAAACAGAAAGAGTCAACACTTTACAGGATTTAATGCCATTCCCAACATCACTGAGGAACAAAATACTATGCAAAACTTCTTGAAAGAGCTATGAACCTTGAAAATGAATACATTTAGAAAACCAAATTAGAAAGAGCATCACAGACTAAATGTTACCTTTATAACAAAAATATGTCACTGGCTTATTTCAGGATGAGTCTCTGTACTACAATCAAATATTAGCTTGATAGTTAGAATATCTGAGGAACGTTCCAGAACTATTTCATAGGATATCTTCTTAATGAATCATAACAAAATGTCTTAAAATCTTCCTTCCATATCGATCTTTTTCTCCAAAATTCATAGCTTATTGGAGGAAATTCCCTGCTATTCTCTAAGAAACATCTTAGCCTTGTTTCCTAAGCCAGTCCACTCTTTTGTTTGTCTGTTTTTAAGATGGAGTCTCACTCTGTCACCCAGGCTGGAGTGCAGTGGGGTAATCTCAGCTCACTGCAACCTCCACCTCCTGGGTTCAAGCAATTCTCCTGCCTCAGGCTCCCAAGTAGCTGGGAGTACAGTCACACACCACCATACCCAGCCAATTTTTGTATTTTTAGTAGAAATGGGGTTTCACTATGTTGGCCAGGCTGGTCTCGAACTCCTTAGGTGATGTACTGGCCTCAGCCTTCCAAAATGCTGGGATTACAGGTGTGAGCCACCGTGCCCGGCGCCCAGTCCACTCTTGGTATATATTTTTCCCATTCTTATCTTAGCCTCCCGAGTCGACGTTCTCTCTCTAGTAGGTCTTATGTGTCTCCCAAATCTTGCTAGCCTTATTTTATCTCCTTTTATTGTACAGTTTCTTTTATATTCATTATTCTGAATAATACTCACGAGTTCCAGAACAAAAACAGATACAAAATCTACTGATGGGTGGAAATCAGCAAGACTTCATTAGAGACAAGGGAATAGATCAATTTTCCTAGTGGAATAATGAGAAAAGAGACTAAAGAAGTAGGAACTAGTCTACAGAGGGTGTGATGAGTTTCTTATAATAGAAATTATAAGAAACTCATCACACCCTCTGTAGTTTCTTGATCCCTGAGCATCAGTGAATATTTTTACATTTAAAAAAACATGCCATAGAAAGGTAAATGAAGATTATACTATAAGGATTCTACATACAATCATCCTTATTTGCATGCGTGTGTTTCTGAGTGGGTGGGTGAGTGGGTGCGTATCAAACTCTAATCTCAAAATGTGACAAGATGACAATAGAGTGACTTAGTCAGATTTACATTAGCAACATTTTTTCAGAAAGATTACACTATGTTATCAGACATTTTTATCATATTGTAACATAATTCACCCCTCAATCCAGATGCTTCAAGGTATCTGTCATTATTTTTTGGTGCCATCTCGTTTTTTGATTCTACAAAGCTCAGAAGTTACCCCCAAATTTGATAATTCTCCACTTGAGCAGAACTGCATATTTAAACACTATGGCTTTGTAATAAGCAATTGATAGAGAAAATGATGCATTTTCACACATCCAAGTGGTATAGATTAGCAGCTGTCCAAGGGTGTCCCACAGAACTAGAATTACATGGAGTGTTGACAAGTTCCATCGGCAGAACCAACAATCAGCTGGGGCATACATTGGTACAGTGGAGGAGAAAGAATAGTAAATACTTTCAAACCAGTTGGTAAATAGTTACTGCACTAAGTTCTCTGAGTAGTTGTTCCAGTAAGTCTTATCACCATAGCCTCTCACTCAGGAACCTCTTAAGTTTCTTCACAGTACAGCAACCAAGAGATTGAGGTCTGGCACAGCAGAGGTCCCAGAAACTTGCTCCAGCACCAAGACCAACACCTGTGCTATCTGTCGATGCCTTTGCCAATCAGGCTGCACCCCAGTAGGGACACGGTGACCCTGGGTTGGCACTGCATCATGAAGGCAATTTCTAGTGCCCATCTGTAAGCCCCGATTCACAGCTAAAAGATGCTTTCAATTCTACTTGCCCAGTCATTTACGGGAGCTCCAAAAGAGCAGAGGAAACAAAGAGATGGTCAGCAGATGGGCTGGTGAGCCAATGTGCTGGTTAAATATTTTAACTACCATCCCCAGGTATGGGAGAGAGGGACATTTTCCAAGAACAAAAAACATTGCAAAATTTGTGATTAGGCAACATTTAATTTTCCTTTACTTCCTAACTTTTCACAAACTGTATTATTCTAATACACAATGAACCTCTTAAAAGCACATTTCATACAACATTTTCCAAATATATTTGAAGATGGGATCTATTTCTGAGAGATATATAATGAGATTAGTGTTCTGAGCAACACATTTCGGGAAGCACAAGATCAAAGGCAAAGAAAGAAAAAGAAAGGCATGGATCTTAATTTCCTAAGAAAGAGGAATTATAAAAATATCTTAAATGCAAATTGCAAACAGAAGTGCCAGCCTCTATTAACCATAAAGTGACTACTGTTGTTATCTTAAATAGTCATAATTAAGATGTGACATATGCAGCCTTGAATTCTTGTACGATTTTTAAAAAATCATTTCAAAGCAAGCATTTTTATTTTCAGGCTTTGTTTACAGGTTGACTTATCTAGAAATGAAAAAGAGAGCTTCTGTCAACACCTATACTGTGCCAGAAGAAGCTAAAAGCTTAACAAAATAAGCATTCTATGAAAAGAAATATGCAAGTGATTAAATTAAGGCTTGCTTTCTTTTGCTTTTGATCTTTAATCCTTATACTACTGTTTTTACAAAGATATCTTAGTGACTTTTAGAACTTTTGAAAGTATGTCTCCATTTAAGTATTTATTATACACACAGAGCTGAAATAAGTTGCTTTGCAGAGTGAAGAAACCACATATGAGGCAACCCACCTGCCTTCCAAGAGGTTATGATCTTTTTGAGATAGCAAAATCTCCTACCACACTTGAAAAAAGGATCAGTATAGGATACAACTAGTTTCCATAGGAGTTGCAGAAATGTAATGTGTGACTGGATTTCCTTCACTATAATTTTATGCCATCAAATGTGATACTAAATACAGAATCACTGTAATCTAAATTAACCTATAAGCACAATGATTGGCACATAAGCAAATGATAAATGATAGCTTTCGTTATTCATTTCTAACATTTTTTTCTTGATTGTTTTTGGTGGTCTTTGATTAATACTTACTAAAACCTATCACATGAACCCTCAAGGAAAACCCCAATCACTGAAAATAATTTTGATTTAGGTTGCTTAGAAGAAAAGATATTCATA